TCTTGTTACCTGCGTCTGCCTTTCCTCGTCACTAATTGAATTTAGACACTGCTATGGCAGCTCACTTGAAAAAGTCACCTGTTCCTTTCCCAGTGCCATTTGCAGGATGGGTGCCAGGGCTTGGAGGATCAGGAAAAAAATTAAGTTGGCCATATCACAGAATGGATCGGGTTGGAAGGCACCACAAAGGGGCATSTGGCCAMCCTCCCTGCTCAAGCAGGGTCATCCCAGAGCACAGTATATGGACACTCACAGGTTTTGGGTAATGATCTCACATGCTTCTGAAGCACTCATCACATGGATGAAAATAAGAAACAAGTGCATAAAGCTTAAGAGATATAAAAACTGATTTTTCCTACCAATTCCCATTTTCACTGAGGTCCTGCAGCCACTGAAGGTCCTTTCCACCTGGTTGGGCCATGTCCTGCGTGTCCTCAGCCGTGCAGGGATCAGGAGAACCCGGTCTGGACAGAGGCTGTTGAAAGCAGAAGGGTGATTTCCAAGAGCAGAAAGGTTTTTGCTGCATTTGATGGGCCTTGGATGGGATCCTGWGCTCCTGGCATGGCTGAGTCATGGAAAGCAGTCAAGACCCAACCTGTTAGCAGTTTTAAACTGTGATGGCCCAGCAGAGCAGTGTCCTAGAGTTTAAAGCTTCTGCAAAAATTCAGAAACTTTGTTTCTGAAATTGTAGAAGAATGCAAAGGAAGACCCRTAAAAGAGTGTGAATGACTCTGGCAGATCTCCCTGCAACACTTCTTGAGAATTGTCCAGAGCCATASTGACAGCAGGAATGGCTCTGAGTTGCAAGCAAGCAGAATTAGGTTTGGATGCTCATCCCAGGGAGGGCAGGCACTGGGAGTGCTTAGCAAAGGCTGATTGAAGCAGGGAAAAGGACTGGTGAGAGACATTAACACCATTTTCTTTCTCCTATGCATTGAGCAGGCAGCAAGAGCCCTGTTTCAGAGAGCTGCTCCTGTACAAGGAGAGAGGCTGTTTGAGAGCCAGATCTTGGGGCTGCCTGCAGCTCTTCACATCGCTGGCTGTGCTCTTTCTGTGCATCAAGGGACACCTCGTGGAACACCATGGGCTGCTGTGGCACCTTAGAAAGCCCTGCCCTGCACAGAGCCTCTGCAGCACCTTATGGACATGAGAGCATGTCCCATCTCCTGCTGTGGCCTCAGGAAAGCCCCTCGTCCCTCTTGCCACTTGGAGGATGTTCTCAGTGGTCAGCAGCAAGAGCAAAACTGAGGACCTGCAAGCAGCTCCCAGCAGACAAAATCAAAGTGAAGCCAAAATTCATGGCTCAAATTCTTTATCAGCATGAGATCAGGTGAGATTTAATAGCTCTGTGCTTCTYTCTCTCTTTCAAGGCTCACTCTGCTCTCTAATAAGAATTTACCAAAGCAAAGGGACTGGCCCAGACCCATTCAAGTGAGATAAAGTCTCAGTTTGGGGCTGCCTTGCTCTGTGTCAATAATGTAACATMACACGGAAAACAAAACCACAGAGTCTGAATTTCCCTCCTGASCTGTTGTGAACCAACGATTTCAGTGCCTCTGTCCAAGCCAGGACCCCGGCTGGCACAGAGCGGGGCAGAGCTCCCCCACAGCTCCTCCACCCGTGGCAATCCTCCACTCCTGAGAACCACCAGGCAATTGGATTTGCGAGCTGCCAAACCTGGCCTGAGCCCTCAACAGCCACGTTTAAACCCAGACCACCAGCTGACTTCATTTGCTAAGGGACTGGAGCTGGTGCCTCCAAAGGGTTTGACGAGGGGGCTTAGATTTGTTTAACTTTTTAGTAGATCCTTTCTCCCACCTTCCAAAGTCCTCTGCCAAAAAAATAATAACAATACTGAGAAAGAATAAATTTAACAGTGTGGGGGAAGAGAGGCACTAATAAAGAGAAGTCTGTAACTTACTACATGGAAGGACTTGCTCAGTGGCTGGGCTGGCTGGCACAGGCTGCACTTGAGTAAGGATAGTCCCTGTGGAGCATCACGGACTTTCAGAGCTTTTGGATAGGAGCCCAAGAGGCTGCAAAACCCCAGGACAGTGGCAACATCCTAGGCCAGGCTCAGTGTTGGCAAGGGCTGGAGCCAGGAGTGAGGGACAATCCCCACAGTGGTACCCACGCAACAAAAGAGGAATCTGTCTAAGGAGCAGCATTGGTGGTTTTCTTGAATCCAAATCCCAGAGTTCCAGTGAAACACACACTCTCTTTATTAATTGAACACCATGAGATGTTCAGAAATGCCTTGAAAATTGTTATTGATAAGGAGGCAGGAGTGTGTGGCAGGAGGGGGCTGTGGTCCTGTTGTGGTGGTTGCATTGCTCCCAGCTCGTGTGGGGGGGTTTCTCCTCTCACTCTCACAGAGGTGGATTGGCCCTGCAGTTCCTAGGAAACAAGCCCTCTCCCCCTCTCAAACTGGTGTTGAGATTTTATTTTTCAATGCACGTTGAAGAAGCCAAGTTTCATGGCCATTTTTACAGAGTTAATAACCCTTTGGAGACTGCAGACATGTGTTATATCCATCTTCCTGAGCAGTCACTTGGCTCACTGCCTGGAAAATGCCAGCATGGGAAGGGTTAACTTGGCTGCYGCTCAGCCTTCTCCCATCTCTCCAGCCACCTTTCTGCAAACCCTTCCTGTCCTGCTCCTCTCCCCAGGCTCAAGGTGCTGCTCTCCTGGACACTCTGGTGCTTTTGCTGCTCTCCCTGCTGCTCCTCCCCTCTCCGCAGCCTTTGGGATCGGGAATTTCTCCCCTCTGGAGCTGCAGAGCTCKGCCAGGCTGGTTGGGCACAGACCTGGCAGGTGCTGCTGTTACCTGTGCAGATGACTCCCCAAAGAAGCCAGAGATGGTTTAATGACACATCGTGATCAACAAAAGTTCTTTTGTAACTTAAAACCAAATACAAGTAGTTCCAGAGGTTCCAGCAGTGGTTTTCCTAGAGATTGGCTTAACACACTGAGACAGGTTTAATTAAAGCTCTTCCCTGGGTAGAGAGTGTTTCAGGCTGTGCTGCTTCRTGTTGGACTCACTTCTTACAGGTGGTCTCGATAATCTTTAATGTCTTTTTTAACCTAAATGATTSTAAGTGGAGTCAAAAGCATYCAGTACTATYCATGCAGCCCTTAACAGAGGCACTTGGGAGGATTTTCCTTCCAGCAGCCTGAATTGCCCCAAACCTTCCAGAGAAAAACTCTGGGACACCTCTGTCAAGTCTGGCTCAAAACCAACAGTCTGTTCATGAGCTCCTGGGAATAAAAGAACAGAAAGAGGAGTGACAGTGACCTCGGRGGTGTCCAGGCACAGAGCTGAACCAGCAGCACCTGTATCCTCAGGGGAGCACACAGCCTGCTCCAATTCCCCAAGTCCATGGCTCTGTCTATCTCCTGGCAGGGAACTTTATTTTTTAACCCTCAGAGGCTGAGAGAGGGCGTTTGTTTTGGCTGAGCTGTGTTTGTTTCATCAACAGTGAGTGCATC